GGTCTTCCACACCCGGTGCTCCACGCCGCTCCGGGGGCACGGACGGCTGCGGGAAGGGGATCAGCCCCGAGACGGTGCTGGGTCTCGCAGAGAGAGAAACTTAAAAGGTCTGGCGCACTTGCTGCTCGTTACCTTCTGGGTTTGGTTGTTGGTTTGTTTTCATAGAATCATAGACTGGTTTGGGGTTAGGGACCTTAAAGATCATCCAGTCCCAACCCCCCTGCCATCAGCAGGCACACCTTCCACTAGACCAGGTTGCTCAAAGCCTCATCCAGCCTGGCCTTGAACACTTCCAGGGAAGGGACATCCACAACTTCTCTGGGCAGCCTGTTTCAGTGTCTGACCACCCTCACAGTGAAGTTCTTCCTCATATCTCATCTAAATGATCATAAACATCAAACACCCTCTGGTGCCTTCCACGCAATTTGTAGATTTAAGACTTTTTTGTCAAAACACAGATGTAAAGTTAAATGGAGCTCCACCCTCTGCCTTTCACTGCAGAACACTTTCCATTTCAACGCTGCTCAGCACCTGGGAACCCACCGCCCGCTGAGCACTTGTCAGCGCTTCCTTCTCCCTTCCCGCACCGGCACGGGAATTCATCTCGCTCAGGGTGGTGTAAGTACCACCGCAGAGCACCAGCTCACCGTGGGCTTCAACAGTCACCGTCAGCAGCCTCGTCTGTCTCTCAGCTCCACACTGACGGGCTGTGTGCTGAGGGTGAGCAGCTCAGTCTCGGGCCGGAACAGCATCTTTCCAAACTGCTCCTTCTGCAGCGGCCCCAGGTCACATACAGATTTGATTCCTTTTGTTAACAGGCGTTAACATGGCAACTTCCCATCCAGGGAGGCAGGGGAAGAAGGAAGGAGCATGCCCGCTTTGAAATACAGTGTTCTGTACAGCACAAGCCAGGGACCAGGCAGTGACCCACGGCAGAAGGAAAGGAAAGGGGAAGCAAAACAGTTCCTCCAGACAAGAGATAAGGAAAGCTCTCACCGAGTACCACTTCCATGTTGTGAAGAGGCCAAACCTCTGCTTTGAAAACAGAGGGCACGCTGAAGTCAGAAAGCTTAAACATTACTCTCCCTCTGATCCAGTTTAACACCTGGGGTTTGCCACTGCAGCACAGCTGTGTTTAAGAACAAGACATAATACCCAGGGTTAATGGTTTTACCAGTAGCCTTCATCACAGTTTGAGGACAAACTCTCTTCCAATAGCAAATGACTTTGGAGGTTATTTGCAGCTAAGAAAAGTTATGGATGTGTTTCTGCTACAGAGAAGATGGGGGGATAACACATGTCTTGCCAGAAAACTACATAAGCCACCAAGGACAATCTGTACTTTTACTCCCCATCATTCCTGAAAAAAAGTTTCTTAGTGTAATCTTATGTTGGTACTAAAATAATTTCACCCGGATTATTTACTTCTGAATTTACCAAAAGCCTACTTTACCAGCAACCAAGGTACTTTCAGTGAGCAAAGGGGAATACATGTTCACACAGCCAAATAAGCAGAGAGAAGCCATAGTCAGTAGTCTGCAAAATTGCCCCTGCTTGTCTTGCCCACAGGAGCGTAAGGAGGCAGTAAGTAGAGCAGTGACAATATTGCTTTTTGAAAAAGCTGCTTCACTCTGCTTCTGGGAGGCACGTTTCAGAAGCATTTATCATTAAAGGTAAATTTTTGGGGTGTTTTATAATCAGTTTTGTAAGGTATCCCAAGAATTTGAAAGCATTATGAGAGCCACATCTCCAATTGTATTGGGCAGAGTATATTGTTCATGTGAAGGCTGACTGATACCTATTTGCAGAGCTGAGGAAGCCTTTACTAGCTAGAACACTGCAAAAGAGCACACTGCACCAACATCAGGCAGAGCTGCCATGGAGATTACAACACATCTTGCAGTACATGCGTGTCAACACCTCCACTTCTGTTCTGCTTGTTAAACACAAGCGTCCTCCCCTCCCACCGGTGCTTGTTAGCAATGTAACGACTTTGTACAGAGCAAACAAGTTTGAACTGAATGTAGCTGGTGTGGACTGTGATTCTGCCAAAAAGAACAGCCTCAGTATAAGCCCTGCCACTCCAGACTTCCCACTGTAGCAGAGCAAAAGCTCATCCAAATGTGCCACTTCTGTCTCAGTAAGTGCCTGGTTCCCTTGGTTTCATCTTGCCAATACACAGGGAAAAATGAATGGCTCTAAGTTTAATGCTGTTCTATCAAGATTAAGTTTGTATGGCTGAAAGGTTCTGAAGGGTTTTTTGTTACAAATTTACTGGATTAAGTGATGTCACACAAAAAGACAGAGTCAAAACCAAGCGTACATTTCTGGCCTTTATAGTAAAGCAGCACAGGATGAACAGCTTTAGCTGTCTGACACCAGGACTTTCACCATCCCTTCCATAACAGTCTTTTCACTTTCTCTGACGTTACATGACACTGAAATGTGTGCAATGGAACCCTTCAGTCGTTTCACTTCCGCTGTAGCGGTGACTTCTTCGCCAGTATACAAGGGAGCTGGAAATCGGATCTCTTGAGAAAGAAATACACAACCTTGACCGGGCATTTTAGTACCCAGAACTGCAGAAATAAGTCCATTGATCAAAACTCCATGTACAATAGTTCTCCCAAACCTAGATTTCTTTGCAAAATCTTCATTTAAGTGCAAAGGATTTGTGTCACCTGTTAAATCAGAAAAAGTAACAACATCATTCTGTGTAAAAGCTTTGGTGAGTTCGGCTTTGTCTCCAACTTTTATGTGTAAACTGTGACATAAGGGACATCCAAGCAGTGAGTTGATAAACATCACTTTTGTCAAGGCTCTTTGTTGGAAACTGCCTCCAGAAATTCCACACCTGAAGGGCTGCAACATCTCAAGCAACTTCTGCTTCGTTCAATCAAACCAACAACTGCATTCAGTCCAGGACTAGTTCTCTACTGTTCCCAGATAACGCAAGAAGAAATGGAGAGGTCTAGTTTGAGGAGAAAACAAAAACAAAGCAACAAACAAACTAAAGCACTTAAAAAAAACCCCACAACAAAACACCATCAAATGCAAAGTAAAAAATACTTCAATTTCCCTTTTACATAAGAGATTAAAAACTTAGAGCTTTGCCCAAGCAGACTTTTGTTTAGCTATTGCTTCAGAGACAAGGAATTCTTGGAACTCATTTTATTAAGCAGCATCCTCAGGGAAAAGTAAGCTCTGGAAGCTCATGTTCATGCATGCATTTTTAAATGAGGTCAGCTGACAGCAACTATTAGAAAGGGAATAAATGGGGGAATGGGAGTGAAAGATGGGACCAAGATATGGGCCAGGAACAAACCTTCCCAGAAATTATTGTATTGCAGATGTATTAATGAGATAAGGAGTTCTCATTGGAATGAAACCATAAAGTAATGAGACAGCCACTACTGTCACATGTTACAAGATTCATTATAATATGGTAATTGCTTAAACACAGGCCCACACACTTGCATTGACAAGCATTTCACTCCCAAACAAGGAAATTTTTGCATCTAGACCATCTAGAGGCAGTGTGCTCATTGAGCCAGACAACTTGGAGCAAGAACTGACATTTGGAGGAAGCCATCCAGCCCCCACAGGGCTTTTACCTGCAGCACTCGAAAAGCACACCTCCTGTTCTGGTAGAAGCCCAGCAATGTTAGAGCACTCCACAGCTTAACAAGGCCACTAAGTAAAAAGAAAACAAAATGTATTAGTAAAATTTGGGGTTTGCAGTTTTCCTGCAGCATAAACATCTTAAATAAAAGCATCTTGCATAAAGAGTAATGAACCTTAACCAAGTTTAACAGCAGGTAATTTCACCAGTGAGTTCTAGTAGCAACACTGTGCCCTGAAGAGTTACTGCAGTGACTGCAGTCTCTTGTCCTTGACACAGAGAGATACGCACTGTAACCTTTTCACGTTCACTTTACTGGCCCTGTTCTTGTACTTTCTGCGCCTTTAAGTTCCTTCTTCCCCTAAATCACCTGCAGTTATCTGCACCATTTAAATCTGATAACCATCCTCATCTTGACTACAGAAAGAGATTTAAAGCCACATATTTCAATAGTCCTACTGGACCATTCTGTTTTAAAGCAGGAATTATATACTGATGCATGTAGGTTACCAAATCTTAGTGAATTTTTATTTTTGTATACTCTATGCAGACATCTGCAAGTTAGGCTTAATTCTTCACAGACCACATTCTGAGTTTGAGAGTTCTGTTTTCTTCTGAAAGGTATTTCCATGGCAGTATCTGAAGTGCACACCTCCTGCACCTTACCTGCTAATAACTCTTAATATGGCAGACAGAGTTTTTTCCTCATATGTTAAGACATCAACAGGCAAAGCTGCTCCAACCTATAAAAAATACATTATTAAGTACCACGTTATGCTCTTATAGTGGTTGATAAGCAACTGATTTCACTGCACAACATCATTAAACTTCTTACAGTTATGCTCAAATCTCACACGAGTGTTTCAGCTACACCACTACTAGATTTTACACAGCACCCTTCCCCTCGAGAGCTATTTAGTC